GTAGTGGTGTTGCCAAACTCCAGTTTTGCCTGGAATGAGTCAGAACTGTGGACCAGGGTGGCTCAGGCTTTGTGACCTGCAGACAGTGTCTCCTGGCAAAGTCGGCCAGCCTGGCTTCATGTTTTGTCTGCTGCTCACAATCTCTCGCCATCACCAGACGCCGAATGCTACCAGTTGGCCTGATTCCCACCTTTTTTCTCGTTTCTTCCCTTAGAGCTCTGTGTCCTGCCTCCTGGGCTGCCCTTGTTCTTGGCACTGATGGTGTCCGTCCATCCACTCAGCCACAGTCCAGCCCACCCCTAACCTAGTTCTGTCCAGCCTTGACCATACTATTTATTGCCTTTCTTTCAAATGGGATCTAGTGTTCACCTTAAATACGAGGTTCTTTACTGAGGCAATGCCTGGAAGGACAGAAAATGGGCAAGCTACCGCTCGGGGCAGCTGTTGAAGAGTGCAGGAGGGATGGGGGGCAGCACAGAACCCCGCCCGGGGCCCCTGGCTTGGCAGAGGGCACACCTGGCCCTCAGTGGCCGCCATCCGGTGATGGCGCACTGGCTCGAACGGCAAGATCCCCACGTTCCATCAAGGCCACACCATCACATGCTCCCTGTACTGTGGCCCCGTGATTATTCGGACTTCTATCAGGCTCCCCTACCCGCCCGGGGCCCCTGGCTTGGCAGAGGGCACACCTGGCCCTCAGTGGCCGCCATCCGGTGATGGCGCACTGGCTTGAACGGCAAGATCCCCACGTTCCATCAAGGCCACACCATCACATGCTCCCTGTACTGTGGCCCCGTGATTATTCGGACTTCTATCAGGCTCCCCTTGGCTGGCCCCTTCCTGGACGACTCTTAGCCCTTGGAGCCTCCGTTCACATGTCTCAGCTCTTCTGCTGAGGATGGTCCTCATCCTTCCTGCTCTCTTCAAACTCTGTGATTTCTCCCAAGTGGGGAACATGTTGCTGTTACCTGTGTAACTCCAGATCCTGGCAGTTGTATGTGCCCAGCACGTGTTGAATGAATGAACGAATGGATGGATTCAACTGCCGTACCTCAAAAGCCTGCAACACAAACCGCAGGTCTCCCTCTGAAAAATGGTCATCTGATAGATAAAACACTAAACCGATTCAACAGGATTTTTGTTTCTGCTTTTGTCCAATTGGAGAAAGACAAAACATTTTCTGAGCTTTAGCCTCGCTGTCTCTGTGATCGCAGCTAGCCATACAGAGAGCAGCTGGACCTGGCCATAAGCTTGGCAATAAGTGATGCATCCTCTTGCTTAAGTACAGTTTCTAGAAGAAAGTTCTATTATATACTTGTCGTTGTTCAGTCACTCAGTCGTGTCTGACTCTTTGCGACCGAGTGGACTGCAGCACGCCAGGCTCCTCTGTCCTTTGCTGTCTCCCAGAGTTTGCTGAAACTCATGTACACTGAGTTGATGATGCCATCCAACCATCTCGTCCTCTGCTACCCCCTTCTCCTCCTACCCTCAATCTTTCCCAGCATTGGGGTCTTTTCCTGTGAATTGGCTCTTCGTATGAGGTGACCAGAGTATTGGAGTTTCAGCTTCAGCATCAGTCCTTCCAATGAATATTCAGGGTTGATTTTCTTTAGGATGGACTAGTTTAACTTCTTTGCCATCCAAGGGACTCTCAAGGGTCTTCTCCAGCACCACAATTCGAAAACATCAGTTCTTCGGCGCTCAGCCTTCTTTATGGTCCAACTCTCAAATCTGTACATGACTACTGGAAAAACCACAGCTTTGACTATGTGGACCTTTGTCGGCAAAGTGACGTCTCTGCTTTTTATTTTTTTATTTTATTTTTTTTAAATTTTTTTTAAGCTGTTAAATTAACTTTATTTTTATTTAATATAACTGAAGTTAACAGACAAATATATTGTAATGTAACAAAGTTATAATTGATAAGTTTACTATCTACATTTTAAAGGATTTCACAATTATTTTAACGTAGTCAAAGGCTTAATATATGAACTTTACCCATTTTTGAAATGTAAAATACACAATTATAATAATACCCATACTACATAACTTACAATTTTAAAGTTTTAGCTAAAACATGAGTCTCTGCAGGTAAGAGCATGAGTTCTCTTATACCTATGACAAATAAAATGTATTACTAATAAAGTGCCACTGGATTAGACAATGCCATTTCAACTATTTCCTTTTTGAAGAGAAGGACAGAAACAATACAGAGCTAGGAATCTGCATTTATAACAAGCACAAGAGTGCTTATTTATAGTAGATATTAACCACATAAAGGATTCCTCTCAAGAAAGATCACAACCATGACTTATGACAAGCTGTATAGTCACCACTGAATAAATTTTATATCCAGAGTTTTAAAAAAGTGCAATCTTGAACTATGATAAACTTAAGTCTACCAATATCAAGACATAGTTTCAGGGACTTTATATAAATAAAGGAACCTCTCTTTTAATTGTAAAATAGATTTCAACCAGTAATAAGGAGTCAGGAATANATCTGAGTCTCTTTTTCTGTTTTGCATATAGGGTTATCGTTACCATCTTTCTAAAGTCCATATATATGTGTTAGTATACTGTAATGGTCTTTATCTAATGCATTCGTCCGTAACAGACTCCTGTGCTGTTTGAGAATACAGTTTTCATGTGTCCATACATTGTTAAAAAGTAATGGGTTAAAAATAATATTTTAAGTCTAATCTTTCTTACCTCTTCCCCTCAAATACAGAATCTCAGATTCTTTGAGGTCCAACGTAATTTAAGCGCTAATTCTTTGCTAAATGCTTTTCAGACTATTGCACTCACCATGCAGATTTCATTAACCCCTCCCCAATCTCTTTGTATTCACATCTCATAAAAAGCAAAGTAACTCTTGCTGTGTATTCAGATATCTTGCTCAAGAGTTGTTAATCCTTTGTTTCTATTTCTGAAGATGTATTTATTTATTTGGCCTTCAAAAAGAAAACAGAAGTCTGCTACAACTAAAAGAGAACTCAAAGGCTGGACCCCTTGTCTCATTTGGGGAAACATCTGGTTATTGTAATTCACGGAGCTCTCATTTCAGGGTTTGCAGTCTTGAGTGGTTTCAGCCTTAAATCACCCTGTGTTGGCAAACAATAGTAAGGGCCAGGCCAGGAAAGAAACAGACAAATCTCATGTATGGAAGGAGATTAAATAAAGGCATCACCCTGCCAATATTCCCCTTGGCAATATGTCTATTTCTAATAGATTCTCCTTAGAAGCCAATATGTTATGTCAGTGATGATGACATTGGGAGCCATTCTATTCTGGAACTTCTCCTTTAGAATTGGCATCTGGATCAGAAGGCTATATCTTGATTTTTTTTTTTTTTTAAGAGTAGAGTACATTTGTAGTAGTGGCATGCATTATGTGAATGATAGTGTTGGGTCATTCTCAGTGGAAACTTTGAAGTGGTTATAAAAAGAGATGTATTTAAAACCAGAGCCAGAGACCTGGGCCCTAGTTCTGACTCTGCCATATATTTGCTCTGTGATGTTGGAAATCTCACTTTCCTGCTTTAAGCCTTGATTAGTTTATCTGTGAAATGGGAATAAGACTGTGAAACTTCGTGAATATTTCAGATGAATAACCAGAGTATTAGACCTGTCTCTGTCACTTCCCAAGTGTTGATGTCATTTGTACCCCACTTTGTTTTGAGCAGTTACCAGTGCAGAATACTGGAGTCCTCAGAGGCTTGTGCTCGCAAAGACTGTCCAGTCAAAACCCCACGTGAGAGACAAAGAAACTGAGAACCTTGATTATAGAAGGGCCTAAGATGTCAGGGTGACTGCTTTGAAAAACAATGCTGCTTTGGCATTTACATGGAGGGTTTCTTTAAAAAAACCAAAAAGCAAAAACCAAACCCAAAACCCCACCTCCTTTTACTGAAGTGAGGCTGATATGCAGTCAGATTAAATGGTTCTCCTCATAAATGGGCCAGTGGTCTTCTTGGGGTCATAAGTCAGGATCACCCTGCTTCTTCCGTTCAGCCCAGAAGAGGAGCGGAAGCAGCCCAAGTAGCTGGAAGAAAGCTCTATCAGATTTCTTCCCGGAAAGGAAAAGTTGACGCTGGGCCTCTGTCCTGGCCTGTCCTAGTAAACAAAGCCTGGAGTTGTCCCTTCACCTGCCTCTGGGCTTAGCTGACCTGTCAGCTCAGGCAAGCAAAGAGTGAGGCCTCCCAAGGGCCTGCGGCACCAGCTGGGTATGAGAACCTCAAAGGGGAGGGGGCAGGAGGGAAGAAGGGGAATGAGCTAGAATGATGGCGGAAAAAAGAGAAATTAGAGAAGCAAGCTTCATTCCCAAGGACGGTTGTGGAGGGTCACCAGGGCTACCTCCAGAGGCATCTGAGCTGCTGATCTGTCTGCCTGGGAGCAGTACCACAAATCACCAGGGAGAGTATTTGTTATCTGAAAACAGAAAGATCCTCAGGAGAGAGATCTCCCTGCAGCTACTCACAAACTCAGTACACTGTAACAATCCCTACCCTTAGAAAGGCCTTACTAATTAAAAAAAAAAAAAAAATGTACATCTAAACTGAACTTTTCTTAAATCTAGGTCATTTGGATAAGAAGCCTCTTTGGATAAAGCCAGGTTGACAGTTGGATTCACTGGGCACTTCAGTGTTAAATATATTCTTCCCACCTCCTGGGTCATAAGGCAGTTACATCTGCATTGGAAGTTAAGAAACAGAAAATAGAGTTGACAATAATAGCAGAGCTTCCTGGTTCATGGTTTTGCACTCTAATATGATATCTTCTGTCCTGCCGTGTTAATATTTTAAATAACATATCTTTTCCATGAAGCATTAAGTTCATCTTTACTCTTTACCTTTCTGTATTGCTATATTTATGCCAATGAGAAATTCATAAAAAAAACAGAAAGCCTAAAGTCAAATCACCTTTGCCAGAAAATAGCAAAGTAACCAAAAAAACTGATGTAAGATCCACCAACCAAAATGATATCTTATGTACTTTACAGACTCGATCTGTGTACCAGGCTTCGATCCAGGCCTCAACATGATGACTGGGATCACCCCTATTAATCCGATGATACCAGGCCTGGGGCTGGTACCACCCCCACCGCCAACAGAAGTGGCTGTCGTCAAAGAAATAATCCACTGCAAAAGTTGTACTCTTTTCCCTCAAAATCCAAGTAAGTGGCATCTGTGAGAAGTATTTGATCATCAAGTTTTAATTTCTTTCTTTTTTTTAATACAGTATTCATTTTCTGATATGCCTGAAAAGTTCTCCCACTTCGGTACGCAGAGCGGGCATCATGCTACAGAAGTCCTTTGTCTCTAGAATGGAACAAATCTGTGGGTCCCTGTGTCTTTCCAGGAGCTGAATCGACACCATGAAGGGCAAATGTGTGATTGGGAATGTATAGCCAGCATTAAGAATCTATTTTTTTGCGCGCGATGAAGTCTAGCATTTGCTGCGGATCAGAGTGTGAAATATGTGAATACTTCCATCCATCTTCACAAATGCGTGAGAGAAACTCTGAAATGCATTTTGCTAGATGGGAAAGGGAATTAATTTGGCAGTTAGCAATTTTGGTGGGGGGAGACTGCATCTGTGAGCTCCTGGGCCAGATTGCCTTCACTTGAAGGAAACGTACTTTTGATGAAGTGAATAGGCCAGTTTTTTTTTTTTTTTCTTAATTTAACTTCTGATACTAAGTTTATGGGCTTAAATAGCTGGAATTTTTTTTTTTCATATTAATCAGTGTTGCCTTTTTAAAGTGGACCTTCTAGAAGATTGCTTTAGTAATCTACATATAAACTAGGTAAAATGTTGTGACAGTGTACATTTTATCTTTTTATACAGCCTCCCTCAAATTTAGGAGTTTGCTCATTTAAATGTGAATAATTTTTTTTTGAAAGCGTATTTTTTTTCAGGCCCAGTGTTTCCCAGCCAAGTAAGTACTGTGCCCACTTTCAGGCTGTTTCCCGTTCTGCCTCGTCGCTCCATTATACCCCAGCAAGACAAAGCAGATAACCAGCCTCGGGTTTTCATCATGTTGTCATTTCATCATGCCTTGTACTTTGTGAAGGCTTCCTCCCTGCCCCCGCTGGTTTTCTGGGCTTCTGTATTATGAAGGAGAAATGAAATTATGCTCACATTTGCTTTACCTCTGTTCTTGGACGGGCATAGCCACTTGGTAGAAAGGAGCAGAGAGGAGCGGAGAGGTGGGAAGGAGGCAGGCACTGAAAACAGGACACACCCATCCGTGTCCATCGCTCTAGACGTTCATCATCGCTCAGAATAGAGAAAGTTAGTCTGCGAGTGTGACTTTTGCCAGGTGAACCAGAGAAAAGAAAAAATAAATAAATAGAGCAAAAATAAGTAAAAGGCAAAACACACTGTGTTTTGTTGTGATTCTCAGATCTTCCACCCCCCTCCACAAGAGAACGACCTCCCGGGTGTAAGACTGTCTTTGTCGGAGGATTACCAGAAAATGCCACCGAGGAGATCATCCAAGAAGTCTTTGAGCAGTGCGGTGACATCACAGCGATTCGGAAAAGCAAGAAGAATTTCTGTCACATCCGCTTCGCCGAGGAGTTCATGGTTGATAAAGCCATTTACCTTTCTGGTACTTTGCATTACATAAGGGATTTCCACCCCACCCCCCCCCAGCACTTCGGTGATGTTTTGTGATATTAATATGAGTGTATTCCTTTTGGCCTTAATGCACAATAAAAGCACTCACAGTTGGGGCTGGAAAGGGGGAATTCTGCCTTTTCCCCCGGGCGCCAGAACCTTGAAGTCTCAGCGCACCTCTCTGCTGCCGGCACAGTTTCCTACCACCCAGGCTTTAGGGATTCCACTGGCTTTCTAATCAATGTCCTCAAGTGCTTATTAGCGGAGAGGCAATATTATGACTACCGAGGACCACAATTATTATTAGCTGTCATTCTCGGGGGGGGAATACAACCCTCTCTCAGTGTAATTTCAGTTTTTCAGAAGTGGTTCACCTTCTAGATGTCAGGGCACCATTTTAAGATCGGTGCCTTACAGGAGGTGATCCTGGCCGAGGGGCGGCCTGGTCTGCCTCCCGTTTGCTCCTGCAGTTAGCCCGGCTAAGCCCACCCACCAGCCCTTCTTCTCTGGTGCCATTTACAGGTTTTTACAGATGCTGAAACTGGGAGTGTAAGGCTGTCTTCCATCGTGTGGGTGTTGGAGCAAGTGTATGTGTTCCCAGTGAATTTAAGGTTCTCCCTCCATCGTGAAAGAATTTGGAGATGAAGTGATAGGTACGAAGTGGATTTATTTAGAGAGAAACACACTCCGCAGACAGAATGTAGGCCATCTCAGAAGGTGAGAGAGAGCCCTGAAATATGGCATGGTTAGTTTTTAGGAGCTGTTACTTTGTAGGCTAATGAGTGGGAGGATTATTCCAACTATTTTAGGGGAAGGGGTGGGGATTTCCAGGTATTGAGCCACTGCCCACTTTTTGACCTTTTATGGTTGGCCTCATAATTGTCCCAATGCTAGTGGTGTGTCATTTAGCATATGCTAATATATTACAGTGAGCATATGATAACTCTCAAGGTCTACCGAAGTCCAGTCTCCCGCCGTCTTGGACCCGGTTGGTTCTAACCAGTCTTTGTCATGTCCTGTGGCCATGCCATTCTTTTAGGGGTTGTGCCCTACTCTCTTGCAGCCTGTTTCATTCGGAGCCTGTCAGCAAGGTCTTTGCCAAGTCTAAGAATCACAGGGCATTCGAAGGATGTCTTTTTACCTTTAATTCACTGCTATTCCTTCCCTCTCTTTCTTCATCTGCACATTTCAGTCTGTCACTGCATCCCACCTCCCTCTTCCTGAGGCAAACTAGTGAGGGAAGGAGAGAAAAGAATAGGAAAAAAAAAAAACTGAACATTACTTCCAGATTTTCTTAACGTCTACAGTCAGCCCTTGTGACCATCAAATCCTCTTGCAAACCTCAGAAGCCTTGGGGTTATTCCAACGCTGCAGAGATATCCCTATGCTAAATAGTGACCTAGAGAACTTTAAAAGCTTTATTCCAATAAAACCTGACGAACTGCGGCAAAAACCTAACAGTATTCCAAAATGGAGATGGAAGACAAAATATATTTTAGAGCATTCGTGTTTCTTGCAACTCTTGAGCTACAGCATCAGAATAATCTGTTAGACAACTGGGAATTCTGGTGAGTGCATGGCACTGGGCTTCACATGCCTCGGGCAAGATAGCCTCTCTCTGAGCCTCTGTTTTCTCATCTGCAAAACTGAGACAGTAACAGTGCTACCTCATCAGATTATTACGAGGAATAAATCCAAATAATGGATATTAAGCACCTGGCAGGACACATGCAACATGGGAACCATTCAGTAAGTGGTTGTTTTTAACACAAATATCCTCATGATGATAAAGTAGGACTGGTTTCTCAGGAGCCTTGCCCTGGGAATTCAGATTCTGATCACAGCTCTACCAATATAACTGTGACTTTATCCCACCTTATTAAATGAAGGGGTTAGAATAAATCAGAGGTGCTTTTCAACACCGACATAGCACAATGTTTAGACCCAATCAGAAACCTCATAGTACATTGCCAGAGATGAACGGTTCCAAATCTAGCCACTTGAAAGTCCCAAATTTATGCCTCGATGCTGTATATATTTTTTCAAGTTCTGACCTGGGCCCCTGCATGAGTGCCCCTTGGCAGCAGAAGAAGCCCACAGCAAAGGCCTCACCTCCAGCCTCCCCTGCCCGGGTACAGCATCGTCCTGGAAAGATCTGAAGGGCTGGCTGGGAGGGGCGGGAAGGCAGACAGGCTGCCCCTCCGGCGTGCAAGCTCTCCTGCAAGCCAGAGCCCAGCTGGATGGCCTGTCTAATTTTAGGACCATGCTCACATCTGAAGGCCAAGTTAAATTTAGACTCGGCCTCATCACAGGCTCTTTTAAGAGCCTTAATGATGGTGTTTGGGTGAAAGAGGGGGTGCTGTCTGGAACCAGAAATGTCTGAAAAGTGATGTTCTGGACCCGATCAGGGGAAAGTTTCTTGGCCATTTGGGACAGCTGGCCAGTCTTAGGCCATTCTGCCTGCTCAGCTGTTAGGTGTATATTACCACGGCCTGCTGGTTTGTTAAGTTCTCCATGGCCAAGATACACTCTGCTTTAGCATTAATACTGCTCCTCTGTGATCAGTATTGATAGGTATTGTTACGTCTTCCCATTTGGGGAGAATACCTTTTAAACTTGGAAGGGAGAGGGTCATAACAGGAATCAGATGTGAGATCAGTGTCATGCTTATAACTTTTCAAAGATGTGAAGTGCCCTCCTGGGGAGGCGCCAGGCCGTCCTGGGGTTTTGGGCTCAGTCTCAACCCCAGATACTAAGACGATCCACTGAAATCCACCACAAGAGCTTGAGCGTCGGCGCCGTGCCGCCAGCATCTCACAGCGGTGTCTCCTGTGCACAGTCCCCACACAGCAGAAGCGCTCCTTCTGCTCTCTCTTCTGGCAGCCCCCGACAGCCGGGATCCTGCTGGGACCTGAATTTGTGTTTCTAAAATCCAAGCACCCCAAACTGAAGAGCAACCTCAAAGCCAAGCCTCCTTCATTTGAAGTTAGGCTGGCGGTCTGGTTGCAGTTCCGTGTGTGTTGATGGCTCAGATCCAGTTGCGGCTCATAATCTCTGTAAGTTGTGTCGCTCACAGCAAATCCCCCAGAGACCTCCGNTTTTTTTTTTTTTTTTTTGTCTAGCTCTGGTTTCTCACACTGGTTCCTGTGGCCCTCAGAGATTGCACACAAACAGTTTGTGCAGTGCCGTGTGCCAGATGAGGTGCTGGAGGGCTGTAAGGAAGGCCTCTTGATTGAAGGTAAAATATTCTCCTGCGTGCCCCAGAGGATAAGTGGAAATAAAACAGCATTGCCAAATTGCCGTGGTAATTGTGGCTTTTGCAGCTGCCGAGAGAGAGAACAGAGAGGCAGCATTTTCTAGGAGATTGAAGCAATAGCCTGTGAGTGAGGTGTGGTAGAATTTACTACGTAGCCCTTTTTAAATATCATGGATATTCTTTATTTACTCACACTCCACTGCATTCTGAAAAGAATGTAAGCGAGCTTATGGGGTGGAGTTACAGTACATTGAAAACAGAAAAATTGAGGCCATAAAAAGCAGAGGGGGATAGAAAAAAAGCTCCCTGCTCCATTGGTTTGTGAGCTTCCTGGAGGCCAGAAGGAAGAAGGAGTTAGGATAGGTGTCCTGGTGCTTTTGATCATCTTGGTAACACTGGCTTGGAGATCCCTCCCAGCTGAGTACTTAGCTGTCCATCTGTAACAGATCTACCCTAGCCCCCTTCCAAATCACGGAGGATAGCAACTTTCCACCTCCCCTGGGAAGGATGTCCTTCCTAAGGGGAAAAAGAGGTCAGCGAGAGCGCCCAGGCTCACCTTGAATGGCCTGGACCCGACTGTCGACAGTGGCAGGGGACCATGTCGTGACCCTGTGATGTGACCAGACTCCCCCATTGGTTTCAGGCTACCGGATGCGCTTAGGGTCCAGCACGGACAAGAAGGACTCGGGCCGCCTGCACGTGGACTTCGCCCAGGCGCGGGACGACTTCTACGAGTGGGAGTGCAAGCAGCGGATGCGCGCCCGCGAGGAGCGGCACCGGCGCAAGCTGGAGGAGGACCGCCTGCGGCCGCCCTCGCCACCACCCATCATGCACTACTCGGAGCACGAGGCCGCCCTGCTGGCCNAAGCAGCGGATGCGCGCCCGCGAGGAGCGGCACCGGCGCAAGCTGGAGGAGGACCGCCTGCGGCCGCCCTCGCCACCACCCATCATGCACTACTCAGAGCACGAGGCCGCCCTGCTGGCCGAGAAGCTCAAAGGTAGGAGCCTGCCGCCGGCTTCCTTTGCGTCCGCGCCGACCAGTGCCCTCCCCAGGCGCCGAGGGCCTGGGCGTCTCTCCTGGCCTTTTGCATCCTGACCTCATAGAGCTGGCGTCACCCACCTGGGATTCTTCATGCTCCCTGGACAGCCCGGCCCCCACACGGCCCTGAGTTCTTCCTGATTGGGTGCATTCATCACTCAACAAAATTCATGCAAAGAGGGGCAGGAGAGCCCCTGCAGTAACTGCAAAGCAGGCTACCAGTTTCCCACCCGTGTTGAATGAGCCCATGTCTCCTCCTGTGGGGCCGGGCGGTCCTGGGGCTCCTGCTGATCTGTAGGGTCTGCACCTCCACTGGGCTCTTAACCAAACTTCCCTAAAGGCTCATCGGAAACCAAACTGGGACCTGTGCAGGACAGAAGCAAAATGTAGAAGAGGGCCCCTGTCTTCAGAGCCTGAGTGGAAGGGACCCTCCTAACACCTTCAGAAGAGTGAGGTCTGGATGAGAGCATTTCATTTCTCTCAATGTTTGCCGTGCTCCTCTCCTGGGTTTGAGACCCTGGGAGAGACAGACAGAGGCTTTAGTACCTGCCGCAGTGAACCACAGATGGTTGGGGAGGATCCAGATTTTGAAGTTAGGATGGCGTATGTGTGAGTTCTGTTTCCTTCTTGATCAGAGTTGTTCAACCCCAGTAACATGGGTGCATTGTACAGGTAAGTGGTGGTCAAACCTCGGTTATCGGGCATGTCAGGTTTTAAAGAGAGAATACAGGTTGTGGTCGCTGGCCACACACAAGTGTCTACAAGGAAATGATGCACTGTGACAAAGCCAGTAACACAGTGGTCCATCTGTATATGAGCAACGTGCTTGGGAACTCAGGGACACGTGTGTGTGATGTTGAGGAACATGTCAAGAAAGCTTTCACAGAGGAGGCAGAGCTTGGACCTTGCAGGAGAAACAAGAATCCACCCCCCCCCCTGCCCCCCAGGAGAAGAAAAGGTGCAAAGACATTCTTGTCAGAGGTGGGAACCCTAGGAATAAAGACACAGGGAAGCAGATGGGGAATTGGACACAGAAAGAGAAAGGAGGGTTGCCTCCTCTGGGGGTCGTGAGAGCCGCTTGGAAGTTTACAGGAGTGAAGGTGACGCTGGGAACGCAGTGTGGGGCCAGACGGCGGAGCCCCCAGGGCTGCCGCTGGATCTGGGTTTTATTCCATAAACAGTGCAGAAGTCATGAAGGACTCTTAGGAGAGGAGAGACGGGACTTGTCCTTGGGAGTGTTTTGGAGCCTCGCTGGCAGTGTTCAAAGTGGATTGTGCGCTTTCACTAAAGGGAACATGAAAAGCCGCCCCAGACCTATTTTCAGAAGATAAAAAGTTGACATTCTATTTAAAAAAAAAAAAAGAATTAAAAAAATCATTTATTTATTTATGCATTTATTTTTGGCTCCCCCGAGTCTTTGTCGCCGCGTGTGGGCTTTCTCTGGCTGCAGTGAGTGGCCGCTGCTCTGCACTCGCCGTGTGCTGGCTTCTCGCTGCCCTCGTTTCTCTTGTGGCAGAGCGCAGGCTCTAGGGTGGGCTTCAGTAGTAGTGGCCCACGGGCTTAGTTGCCCCAAAGCATGTAGAATCTTCTTCCCAGGTCAGAGATTGAACCCACGTCCCTTGCATTGACAGGTAGATTCTTAACCACTGGGCCACCAGGGAAGTCCTAAAAAAGAATTAAAAAAAAAAAAATTTCTGCTTCTAGTCTTCATCCTCTCCTCTGGCCTCGGGGACCCTTAATCAGATGTAATTGCCACTGAAACTGTGGACTTGGAAAATTTTTTGAAAAACGCACCTTGTGAGAGCTGTGAATTGAATTTATTCGGTGTCTTACTGAGGACTACAGCTCAGAAGACAGCCTCTCAGATGGCTCTGAGGAGCTTTTCTGGAGTGACAGGTAAAGGAGGAAGCGTACGCGCGATTTTGGTGAGGGGGTACCTGCCACCAAGCACGCGTCTCAGTAGAAGGTTGCAGCTAGCACGAGGTAAATCTTGGTAAATTGACATCTTGGTTACTTGGACATCTTGGTAAATGGTTTTAGTACTTCTCTCCCTGAGGGACAAGGCAAGAATCTGGGCTCATGAAACTTCCTCCCGAAAATATCTGCCTATCTGGAGGTCCGTTCTGCCAGTTTTCCCAGAGCACAGAGTGCCATATGCCTGATCCCTGCTCTGAATTCCTTTCGGGCTGTGTTAAAAGTCAGCAACTGTGGTGGCCAATGACTTAGTCCTCGTGGAACCTTCTTTAGTTGACATAACTGTGGAGTCCCTCTTACTGATGCCCCTTGGCACGTGCTCTGCCTCTCCACAAAGGCGAGCCCTGCCATCATGAATACATAGGCTGTGGCTGTCCCTTTAATAAAAAGCATATAAAATGCAAATGTAGACACCCTCTCGCTTTGCTATTCAGGCCAGAATCCATAAGGAGTGGGCAGTGTGAGAAAGAGCACGCTTCTCAAGCAGGAATGTTGATCTCGGAACAAATAATTTTTCCTTCACTATCCAGCACGTTGTCTTCCTGTAGCTCAGACAGTGAAGAATCTGCCTGCAACACAGGAGACCTGGGTTTGATCCCCGGGTCGGGAAGATCCCCTGGAGAAGGGCATGGCAACCCACTCCAGTGTTCTTGCCTGGAGAATCCCATGGACAGAGGAGCCTGGCGGGCTACAGTCCATGGGGTCGCAAGAGTTGGACACGACTTAGTGACTAAACCAGGCAGATTATAGTCTAGTAAACCAGAAGTTAAACCACTACCTTGCTTACTATTAGTTAGTTGTTTTGCAAATACAGAATAAGGGTCATTTAAAATTAAGAAAAGAAAACAAAACAACCCACTACTTTGAGGCCCACAGGCCAAACTGAGCCTTCAGATAATTCTGTTTTCTAGGCTTTCAACATCAGTTAGGTAGACTGGGTCTTCCCTAGGTCAATGACCTCTGGCCAAAGACCACCAGGGACACACCTATAGTTGAATAAGTTGATTACTCCTTACGGTAGGGGAGGCCTCACCCCACGGGGGCTGTGGAGGGTCTCAGTCAGAGGGTGCCTGGAGGCATGTAGAGTTTTAGATGTGTGGGGCTCGTGGTAGGTGATTCTGCGAGGAGGCGTCAAGGAAGCCTGCACTGGAGGCTGTCGGGAAGTGGGGACAAGCCTATGACTTGATGTCTCAGCGACTGTGCTGAGATGCGGAGAAGGCGGAGCAGCAGATAAAGTCGATAGCGCAGCAGAGCAGCGGGGCAGGAGGGGGCGCCCGGGGCGCTGAGGCTCAGGCGGGATAACAGAGTTCTGTTCTCAGCCCGCCCCTGCACGGTCAGAGCTGCCCTGTCCCACGTGGACGTTCTGGGAGTCTCTTCAGCAGGGGAGCAGCATGGCCCACACCCGGGGAGTTAGCCCAGCTCCCAGCGACGCCCCCTCCCGCTCACAGCTGACCTGCTGCCGTATTTGCTGCCCCTGCCTGATCCCCGGAGCATCTAAATTCACTTCTCTGGCTAAAGACTGCTTGTTACCAAATAAACTGATGGCAACTGTGATAAGTGCTGGTTGAGGAAGCGGTGAAGAACCTAACCTTCGGGGTAAGGAAGGGAGGGAGAAATCATGGCCAGCTTCTAGGTGGAGGTGACTTTTAACCTGGGTCCTAAAAAAGTAGGAATGAACCAGAAGAGGCAGGAAAAGTCAGTGATAATTTAACTAATACTGTCTGGAGGCTTGCCATGAGTCAGAGCCTGCGTAAAATTTTCCATGTGCTGTTTCACTTAATTTCTACAGCCCCCTGATTCAGTAAGTAAGTAATGAGAACTAACCCTGACAGCTTGAGTGTCTACCACGTAGGAGCCCCTGGCAGCGACCCTCTGAGGCGAGTACTATCATCACTCTCCCGTTTTACAGCTGGGCAAATGGAGACCCTGAGACCCTAAGTCACCTGCCCGAGGTTACCTGGATGGGAAGTGATGTAGCTGAGATTTGAACCCAGATAGGCAGTCTGGCTCAGGAACCCAGACTCTCTCCACTACCAAGTTCCATGGCCTTTCTATGTATTTTTGTCCCCACTTTAAAAAGGAGACAACACAAGCTCTTATAACACAGCTCCTAAGGCCCTCTATAGCCAAGACTTTAACACAGGGGCCTGACCCCAAGCCCCATGACTTCAAGGGGGGAACTTAGAAAAATGCATGTAGGATGCTAGTTTTTTCCACCAGCATCAAGATCTAATTTTACTGCTTTTATAGAGAAGTTCTATGCCAAATGATAGGCAGCTTTCAAAGCTAGCAGGCAGAGAATAAATTTTACTTTATATCCAACATGGCAACCCACTCCAGTGTTCTTACCTGGAAAATCCCACGGACAGAGGAGCCTGGTGGGCTACAGTCCATGGTGTCGCAAGGACCGAAGCGGCTGAGCAGGAGGAAGGGTCTGGTTTAATCAAGGACTGAGGAGGGACCACGGGCCCTGGACAAGGGCTGGGTGTGGGTATCGAGAGGAATCTGCCAGGGTGGGGGGTGGGGGCCGGGCGGTGAGCACCTTTCCAACTGGGTCGAGGCCTGGAACCCCCGGGGAGCTTGTTAAACATGCAGATGCCTGCGCCTCAGCCAGGCGGATCCGGAGGTGCAGCCCTGGCACCAGCGCCTTTAACAAGATCCCCAGGGACCCCGGTCCAAACTGCTGCTGCTGCAACGTTGAAGCCCAAACTCTGGGGAAGCGGGACCCAGCAAAGCAAACTGTAGAGGAATGGGGGCGGGGGGAAAGCAAGATGCTGCCTGTTTGGGGGCGGAGCTGCAGGCACACGCGGGGAGAGCAGCTGGGCCAGCCAGAGACCCAGCGTCCTGCTAACCTCACTTGTGCGTTCAGCTTGATGCTAAGAAAGTGAAAGTCACTCAGTCACTTATCTTAATAGAGTGAAAGTCGCTCCGTGTGTCCGACTCTTTGCAACCTCATGGACTATACAGTCCGTGGAATTCTCCAGGCCAGAATCCTGGAGTGGGTAGCTTTTCCCTTCTCCAGGGGATCTTCCCCACCCAGGGATCGAACCCAGGTCTCCCGCATTGTGGGCGGATTCTTTACCAGCTGAGCCACCAGGGAAGCCCTTCATGTTAATAAAAGCGGTCGTTTACCGAATCCAGTGACTGTCCCAGGTTCTCTATTTGGATTATTGCAGCGTCTCACAATAACCCAATGACATAGGCACCTAATTCTACAACCCAATAGTATTTGTTTGTTGTCTACTCACTAAGTCACGTCCAACTCTTTGTGTAGCCTGCCAGGCTCCTCCGTCCATGGGATTTCCCAGCAAGAATACTGGAGCGGGTTGCCATTTCCCTCTTCAGGGGATCTTCCCAACCCAGGGATCGAACTTGCGTCTGCGGCATTGCAGGCAGATTCCTTATCCCTGAGCCACCTGGGCAGCACCTACTAGTACTAGGTACCCTTTTTAATAATCCCTTTCTGCAGACGAGGAATACCGAGTGAGCGACATGCCCAGAGCCCAGGGCTGCCGGCCGGGATGAAGGTCCAGCAGCCCGTCTCTGGCGCGCGGCGCACCCATCAGCTCTGTGCGGTGGGGAACCTCCAGCAGTGGGCGCTGAGGCGTACAGGGCGGTCGGCAAAACTGAGGCACAGCTACCGTGAATAACGGCTGGGCCGTGGAGATGCCAGGAGGCGGGTGAAGGTCTCCGAGCTGAGAACTAGGACAGAGGAAGGGGCGGTTACATGGTGTGGGGTCAGCTTCACCAGTGGACATGAGACGCGGGCCCCCGTGCGTTCATCCACACAGAACCCGTGCCGGGAATGATGCTGGGGGTCCAAAGGCAGTGGGACAGAACTTAAGTTTGTTCTGCAAACGATCATTAATTACGGGGACCTGATCTGAGAGAACAGTGCACATGTGTGTGGTCTCGGGCGGGCTCTTTGAGGCAACGCAGTTAAGCCCAGCTCTGACACACGCACCAGCGTTAAGTTAGTTCAAGGCAGAGGGGGCAACACATACAAAGGCTCAAGGTAAAGCGGCTCGTTCGGAAAACAGAAAGGACGTCATCACGGCTACTGTGGTTCGGAGCGGAGGGGAGTGTCCTGAGATGAAGCCAGGTCCTGTGTGCAGATGGCCCTGAACCTTAGGTTTTGCGGTTGAGCTGGTGTCAGCCAGGTAAAGGCGGGAAAGGCATTTCAGGCAGAGGGAACAGCACCAGTGAAGGCTCAGCGCCCAGAAAGACGCAACGGCCACACATGACGGGTCTTGAGGCCTCCCCTGTGCTGGGGCCTCGGGTCCCAGGCTTCACACTGGTGTGCGGGGTGGCTGGGAGTTTGTTTCTGAGAACAGATACCCCAACACTAAAGCTTCAGGGAGAAGACCATGAGGGCAAAGGGCAAGGGACGTAAGTCCCAGGGCTGTCTTGAACCTTGAACCATCTCTCATCTCCACTTGCAGCTTCACTTTATCCAGCTGTAAAATGAGAAGGTGGCACCAGGCTCATCTCTAAGGTGGGTTTCAGTTAGAACACTTTCTTGGTGATTTCCTCTAAGATGAGATTAAGAGAAACTCAGGAAAAAGTGGGAAGACCTCAAGGTAACCTGATTAAAGTTTGTGAGGTGATCAATTATATTTCAATGCTTAACAAATTTCGGCAGAAACATTATTTTGGATACATTAAGGAAACGACCACAAAACTTCACCTGCTGCCAAAAAATTCAGACACAACATCAACATACAACTGATAAGGTAAAAGTTGGTACCCCCACTTCGGAGGTTCTCCACATCTTAGCTCCCGATTAACTGTTTGCAAAACAATGAAAACTAGTCAGAAGTGGCTGATGGGCTCGATCAAGCTCCAGATGTATTTTGTTTGACCAGCAAAGTTTTTTTTTTCCCCTCGTTGCCTGGCACGTGGGATCTTAGTTCCCTGACTGGGGATCAAACCTGTACTCCCCGCAGTGAGAACACAGTCTTAACCACTGAACTGACAGGGAAGTTTCCTAACAAAGTTTTAAAATTTGGGAAATTTTACCTCTTTCAGTTTCTCAGAAAAACCCAAATATCTAACTGATTGAATCCAAAGAGCAGCTTTCTCTGTTTCACCAGAGTCCCCACCATCCCCTAACGACTTTGGCAGAGGTGACTCCTCTTTTTAACATTACCTGCCTCATCCCTGTTCCAGAAGCTTTCCTTGAATATAATATGTATGCATATATATGCCTTTTTGTATTTACCCTGAGACTCTATGTGGGTACACAGATCTAGCTCTCCTTTTCAGAGCTAAGTCACATTCCACTGTCTGAATTTATTCACCTAATTAATTATTAGATTATTATTCATCATCTGTGGCATTTATTCATCTAATCTCCTCCTGACATATATGTTACAAAGGTTCCATTTTCTTTACAGTATATCCATAAACACCCTTGTACATTTTTACTTGTCAGGTTTTATAGGATAAATACCTATAAAAGTGCACATACTGGGTAAATGTGTACATTTTAAAATTTGAAAGATTTTAAATGTAAGAATTAAAGTTTGAAAGATATCACAAAATTGCCCGGCTTATAATGAATGGAAGCAGTATTTGATCTGCGTTTCTTTATTACTGAGTGATGATGAGGCAATGGCGCATCCTTGTATACTTGCTGGCTCTTGAGCAGCAACTGATGCTCTTTGCTGAGTTTTCCACTTAGTCCTTTTATTGATTTTTAGGGCTTTTTTTTTTTTTAATATATGAAGGATATTAGGCCTTAGTCACATGTACTGCATCCCCCCCTCCCCCCCAGTTGTCTTTAGGCTTTTTTTATACATTGTTTTTACTTTGGAAAAATGGTAACTTTATTTGCAACTACATAACAATTCTTTCTCTGTGTGTGGGGCGGGGGCGCAAATCCTATAATCAATCTGCTTTCTTTGGAAGGCACAGTACTAATAAATATATTTTTGGATTTAAAAATTTGAATGCCTTTAGCTAACAAACACATTCTCTATTTTCCCATAGGATCCAACAGTGTGTCTACCAACTATCTCATAAATGGGTGACTTACTATATTTAAAGTGATCTGTCTTGTCCCTTAAGGCAGATTATAAAGGAGTAAGCGTAGGGGTGTGTGAGTGTTTGGGTGTCTCCGTGTGTGTATAGTTTTTATTCTACAACTTTGACGGTTTCATTGTGCACATTTAACTTTTGGATCCATCTGCGGTTTCTTTTGGACACGACCAAGAACTCAGATGAACTTTTCTGTTTTTCTGGTTGGCGGCACAGGGAAGGGGAGTCATCAATACTTGTTTATAGATTTAAAAAATTTCTTAAACATTTTTTTTTGTCCTTTACATAAATAATGCAAATTCAGGAATCACACACTTATTTCCACCACCCCAAATAACCACTTTTTCCTTTTTTACCATTTCCTGCATGTATTTTTTTCTTGGTATATAGGGTTTTTTTTTGGTTTTGTTTTAAAAACCTAGTTTTTGTCTGGTAGTTTTGTTTAGCACATGACAACAATTTATAACTGCTACCACTTAATGTTTTAACCTAGCAGTTCCCAAACCTGGCCAGGCAGCTAGCTTCCCCATGGAGCTTGTTAAAATTAATGAATCAGCAATCCTAGGGGGTGGGCCCTGGATGTCTATATTTTTAACAAGATCTGTAGAGGCGTCTGGGACACAGCCAGGCCAACTCTAAGTGACTACCCCACCCCCCAACCATACCTGTGATCGTCTGGGTCTCGGAGGTGATGGTTCGAGTGGTGGTCTGAGTCTGGGTGGCAGGCACCGTTTCCTCCGATACAAACTGGACCGTGCTGGGCGCCGCCCCAGACGTGCCGGTCAGCTGGCAGCCACTCTGCTTGTGAGCTACAAAGGCGTCCAAATTGTTAAACTGCTGCTTGCAGATGCCACAGATGTGGATGTCGGGAGTCAGCTCCACCAGCACTGTCGTGCCACCTGGAACTTCATGGGACAAAGGGGAAGTCAGGGGTTAATTTCAGACAGCTTGGAATGACAACACACACCAGACCCACATAAGAAAAATGGGCACAGTGGCAGACGTGGCTAGCTGCTGGCCCAATATCTATCTTGCACACAGAACCTCAGTTCTGCCCAGCAGCAACATACCCACCCAAGCAATGCTCCTGATTATTCCCTGTGGGGGCACTAGTGGTATTTCATGCAAAAAGGTTCTTCCCTGCACTTCAAGAAGGCTATCTTGCACTTCAAAGGACCATCTTCTATCTCAGATAAAATGTAATTGTACTTCTCAGTCATTATGAAAACTAATGCTCCCACTATTCCAACCCTCTCCCCCATCATGAGAACCACTAGCCTGAATAATTTTGGTTCATGACATACTTGGGAATCCCTCCAGCACAGTGCTGGAGGAGCTTCAGGGAAAAACATGATAAAAAGGGAGCTGACATGGTTGGCACTGTTCATCTCCCTTCAGCCTTGAATGCAGATGTGATGCCAGGTGCTTCTGCAGCCATATTGTAACATGAGGTAAATAGTAAGATCTTTACAAAAGTTTACTTCACTGATTCCCTAAATCAACCCTAGAACCAATCAATTCCAGACTTCTAATTAGGCCAGTATAGTTCAGTTTAGTTACTTGTAAGCAAAATTAATTCCTGACAGAGACATTATTTCACTATAGTAACAATATCAAGAATTAATACTGTATTTAATACTTGCAAAGCGCTTACCATAGTCCTGGCACTATATTAGAAACTGCTATATAAATGTTTATTAAATAAAGAAATACAATGAATAAGTAACTAACAAGACAAACTGAATTTTTATTTTAAAAGTTTTCTTTGCCTTATTACAAGGAAATTCATGTTGATAACAGAAAATTTGGGAGAGAGGAAGCAAGGAGGGAAATTACAGTCTTTCCACCTATGGATACCATGAACATTACAAAATATTTTCTTCCATTCATTTTCAATTAAAAATTATTTATATCGTAGTGCATTGTAAATTAATCTTTCCCCCAATACTGTTGTACAAGCATTGTGCTCTATCACTAAAATCTCTTTATATATGTATATATATAACTATTTAATGATAACACATTATTGCATATTTTCTAAGCCTCATAATTTCTCACTAACTATAAGGTTTGTATATTATTCCAAACTTTCCCTGAGTCTAAATAGTATGAAAACCACCTTTGTGCATATACAGTCGACATCCTTGCTTCATAATTTTTTTAAAAAAACTTATAAAATATTTGCATTATGTTCAATGTCCCATTACAACCAAGACATCTCTGTGCAGAAAGACAATTTGGTTGACTTCTAAGAAAAGATACTTTGCACTGAGCATGGTGGTTTTATAAGCCATCTTGCAAACACTGAAATCAATGGGTAGAAGGATGTGACATTTCTCTTCTCTGGAACACTGTCTTCCTGTAGCTACTGAGGTGCCCGAGCTAAGAGAAAGACAAGGAATTAAGAGGCATAGTGACTGCATCGCTGAGATTCCTTAATGGTAGGACTGATATCCGGGAGGAGATGCGGTGAAGTTTGTGCTTCATAAGGTGGTTAGGAGAATTAAATGAGATGGTGCTTGTAAAAGGCCAGCACAGGGGTCCCCAGCATGTCACGTGATGGGGTTATTACTGAGGGGTCCTATTTGAATTTGAAAATATCCCCTATGAAAATCTGTAATGAACTGAGACCCAATAGAAAACACTGGGTCTATTTTTTTGTTTGTTTTTTTCATCATCATCAACAAAAAGAATTTCTTTATCTTTGCCAGGCTCCTCAGTCCATGGGTGTCTCCAGGCAAGAATACTGGAGTGGGTTGCTGTGCCCTTCTCCAGGGTGTCTTCCCAAGCCAGGGATCGAACCTGTGACTCTTCCGTCTGCGGCATTGGGAGGCGGGTTCTTTACCACTGGCGCCGCCTGAGAAGCCTCTTTATCCTTGCAAAGTTCTCCAAACCTGTCTGGGCATCAGAATAAGGGCTGGGGTGGGTTTAAACACGGACACGTCCGAGCCCCACTTCGGAGATACTGAGTCCTATTGGAGGTGGGGTGGATGGGGACTGAGGTTTAGGGAAATCTGCGCTTCTCACAAGTTATGCAAGGAACCCACAGACAAGTTTGGGAGCCAGTGTCTTCCAAGTCGTTAGCAGTCACATCTAACAAGTGCCAGGGGTTCTCAAACTTCCTGTGCCTCCAAATCGCCCAGGGCAAGGCCATCCTCCTCCCCCCAACCCCGGCCCCGCCGCCTGGTAGGTGGGGCCCAGAGAGCTCCCCCCCCCCCCTAAAAAAAAATAAGCTCTGGAGCTCCCAGGTGGCTGGTTCGCGCTCAGCCCCTGGTCTACACTCAAGGAATCAAGGAGCCCGGCGAGACCACGGGCTTGGAAAAGGCTGTCATCATAATGAAAATGAACCCCAAACTCAAAACGCAAAGAACACGCCCACGGCCCCGTTCCCCATTCAGATCTCCACCTTGAACGTGGACAAGGCTTTCCAGGAAGCCGGCAAGCCCAGCCAGCCAGACCTCGTGCAGTCCTCCGAACCCCAGACTTCAAGGATTCGGGGCCACCGAGACAGAAGTTTTCCCATCAGCGTGGCCGCGGTTACCCCCAATCCACCTCCAGGCTGCGCCGGGGGCGGGGAATGCCGCGAGCGGGTGGGCGATGGTCGGAGCCGCCAGCCCTCCCCCACCGCCCCCTGCCCGGGGGGGCTCTCTGGAAGCTGGCGAGCGCCCCCGCCTCGCGCCGGGTCGGGAGCGCCCGCCCCCGGCCCACCCCGGCGCCTCCCGTCCGGCGCGCCCGCCGGGTCCCCGAGACGCCGGCTCCGGGCCGTCACCCCGATTTCGGGGCCCCGGGCCTGCCCGCTGCGTCGCAGGCGTGCTTGGGCCCGGGCCCCGGAGCGCGCACTGCGCCCGGAAAAGCACTTACTTTGCACTGAGCCCGGGAAGCTCTCGCCCTCGCTGCTCGCGTTCATGGCGGCAGACTGGGGGGCGAGGGGGGTCCCTGGCCGGCCGGGGTGCCAGGGCGCGGGGCGCGCGGGTCTACATGGTGCAGGGACTTTTCCTTTTATTTTTCCACCCCCCCCAGCCTTCCTTCTCCCAACTCCGCGAGGCGGGGAGGACGGATGTACAGCGAGCGCCACTTCCGCTGCCTAGAGGGCGCTGGCCCGGCCCGGCCGCACCAACCTGGCTTCGCGGCTGCGGCTCCCGGGGGAAGCAGCCGGCCAATCCCGATGCCCCGGGCCGCGGGGTCCCCCCGGGGTCCAGACGGCGCACACGCGGTGGGGCGGCTGCGGGTAGCGAGGGATGCGCCCCCTACCCCCCGGGGCTGCAGCAGCCGGCGCCCTGTCCGCGCCCCGGAGGGCTGGGCCGGCGCGTTTGGCACCCCCACCCGGGCTCTGGCGCCTTTGCACCTGCCGCTCTGGGAGTCTGGTCCCCGCCGAGTCCGGGCAGCCGGGTCGCCCCGGTGGTTTGCAGAAGAGGACCGAGCCGGCAGCAGTTGGGTGGGTGCGTGGGGCGGGCCTCCTGCCCAGCAGTGAAATAAAGAGCACCGTGCTCACGTGCTTGGGTGGCAACTGGGATCGGTCGCTGGGGCAAGACCCCTGGCCCCGGGGGTCCGCCAACTCTTGTGTGCATCACAACCACCCAGAGAGCTTGTTAGGACGGAGGCCGCGGGGCCAGCCCAGAGTTCTGACTCGGTGGGTCCGGGGGGAGGCCCGAGGACCAGCCTTCTAAGTGACAAGGTGGAGTTCCTGATGCCTGTGGGCGCTGCTCCCCACGATCTGACCCCGCGCTCGTCTGACTTCACCTGCTATTCCCTCCTCCCCTCAGGCGCCAGCCCCAAGCTCTTTCCAGCCTCAAGGCTTTTGTGCTTACTGTTCCCTCTGTATCCACCTGCCACCCTGCCTAACGCCCTCAGGTCTTGATTTCAAATGCCATCCACAGAGAGGCCCTTCTTGGCTAGCCCCCCTGTTCTAATCCTGCTGTCCCTCCTCCATCCAGTGGCTCCCCTGTTACTTTCTGGTCTGCTTTATCTTCTTAGAATTTATCAAATCTACCATGGTCATCTGGAGTATCTCTATCTGTATCTACCAGTCTATCCTTCTATCTGTAGATCTATCTAATTTGTCTATCTCTACAGACAGATACGGCACTTCCCTGGTGGTTCAGAGATTAAAGTGCCTGCCTGCAATGCGGGAGACCTGGGTTTGACCCCTGGGTTGGGAAGATTCCCTGGAGAAGGAAATGGCAACGCACTCCAGTATTCTTGGCTGGAGAATCCCATGGACGGAGGGCTACAGTCCATGGGGTCGCAAAGAGTCAGACACGACTGAGCAACTTCACTTCACTTCACAGACACATATACAGATTTATTCATTCATTACCTGTTTTCCCTTGCCCCTTACATTCAATAAATCCTCCAGAACCTGGAATTAATAAAAACCTCTTTGCCTCGCTGATATATCTATCCCCAGTGACTTGGCCTGGTGCCCGGCACATAGTAGGCCCAAGTAAATAGGGCGAGTATGACTGATGGAATTAACCTGCAGTTTCCATTGAGGGTTTGCTCATTCCTTCAGCAGCAAGTTACTTACAAGCGTCTGCCATGTGCCAGGCAGCGTGCTAGCCCCTGGAGGTACAAGGGTGATCCTGACTATTTACTTCCTGCTCTGATAGAACTTGGATGGTGGCTAGTGATGCAGTCCGCACTAAACAGTCAGATCAGCAGTGTAATTTCTTGAGAGTGATATGATCTCAGAGACATGAAACAAGGCTGTGATAGTGGCTCCTTGGCCTATCTGAGCAAGCAATATTTGAATGAGGCCGCTGCGTCAGGGGCAGTTCCAGCCTGGGGGACTGGCAGGCGCTAGAGTCCTGAGCGGCAATGCGCTAGATGGGGACGGGCCACCCCGCCCACCGGTCCCACTGCGAGTCTCACTGCCCTCCCCCAGCTGCTCAGGTCGGCCAGACCCCCCTCACTGCGGCTGCTCAGACACGCCCAGCTCTGCATATCCTCCTCCTTCTGCCTGGATTGCCTTCCCCTGGTCTTTGCAGGACTAGCTTCTTTCTGTCATCCAGGGCCAGATGGAAGGTCACTTTGTGGGGAAGGCCTTTTCTCTCTCTTATCTGAAGTACTCACCCCCCACTTGGTACACTGTGTACATCGGCTTCATCACACCTACTCCTGGTCAATATGATCCAGAAAGGCACTGCAGCATAGGGCGATATTTACTTTTTTAACGCTTGATAAATGAATCCCCACCTGCATGAACATTTCCAGCCTCATGCCCCTTCCCAGTCACTGTTACCCCAGCTCCCCAAGTCCAGAGAGGTACACACCATACAGAATTCTGTTGCTGCAGATTCCTTGTGTTGAGAGAAGTAGTTTTTATTTTTGTTGGAAGAGGAGAAATACCAAGGGGGCTTGCTAAGGAACAAATTCTAAAGTTCCAATCCAGACCCAACTGCACCCAAATTTCCTAAGGCAAGACCTGGTAATTTGCATGTATTTCACAAGTGCTTCAGGTAATTGTTACCACGATGTAATTAGGGGCCTTACGAATCAGTGCTTTGTGGACCCTGAATTTTGAAATGTATTATGAACTTTGTAACCCGAGGTTGATGTCATTCTCCCTAAGTGGCAGTTGGAGAGCCAGGGTGCAACATATCCCTGTGAATGATGCTCATAATATGAGTTAAGAGCATCAAGAGGGGGGAATGAAGAAGGAATTCATAGGGCCTGGACTCCATCTGAGGCCTGTCCGTGCTGATCGAGCTCGGCCGCCTCTCCAGTGGACTCTGAACTCTCTGCCTGGTGCCTGTGGGAACGACAATGGAAGGAGAAGACCCCTTCCGGACAGGGGAACCTGTCGTATCCAGGTTACTCATCGCCTAAGAGAAAACAGACACTAATCAGCCCTGCCTCCAGACAGTATCTATCGGAATGTAACCACAGGCTTATCGGTTATTAACTGGCTGGAATGTAACTGTGGGCTTATTGATTATTAACTGTTTGAACACACAACACGTGAATGATGGGGTTATTGGGATTGTATTTACCCTTCCTTCGTAAGCATCAAGGGATTGGGGTGGTGGGTTTGGACACGTACACATGGGGTATAAAAGATTTTCACAAATGCTGGTCGGGGTCCTTGGCTCAGAGGAGACTCCGCCTTGGCCCGCCGGTGTAATAAACTGCACTCCACTATCAAAAAAGTCTCCCCGACCGGGACACACACTATTCCAAGGTGATGTAAACCCTGGAGCGGTTTCGCTGTAACTAGTTGGGTGACCTGCTTGGGAGATTCAGCTGCTTTCGGCCTCACTTATCTATAATCTGGGGATGGTAATGGTACCCACTTCCCTAAGGTCTTTTCAGGGGAAAGTGGAAGTGCAGTCCTTCAGTGGGTCTGACTGTTTGCCTCCCCGCGGACTGTAGCCTGTCAGGCTCCTCAGTCCATGGAGTTTTCCTCAGAGGATCCTCCCGACCCAGGGATTGAACCCGGGTCTCCCACATCGCAGGCAGACACTTAAGCATCTGCACCACCTGGGAGACAGTATACATACAGTGCTTAGAACACTGCCAGGGCAACATTAGCATGACTGGGCTACAAAGGTTTAAGAAAATTTAAATGTTTACCCCACGTCCAAGGGCAAAGGAGAAGCCCCAGCAAGCCAGGAGGAGGGGTGACATCGTGTTTAGAATCAAACCCTTCCCCACCAGAGGCGCGCAGGGGGCTCAAACAAACCTTCTGCGCACCGGGACCCAGGGACCCACAGAGCCTGCGCCAGAACCGAGTCCGAGCGCCTCCCGCGGAGGCCCGGGTCAGCAGCGGCCGCCGCAGGGGCAGGGGCTCTGGGTGCCGCAGACCTGGGCGTGGCATAAGCCCGCCTGGAGGAGGTCGCCATTAACCCGCCACAGAGCCGCCGGAACTTACCCAGGACGGGAAACAGACCCTTGGAGGGCGCAGCAGAACCTTGTGCGCCAGGCCCCAGGGGAAGGAGCAGTGACCCACAGGAGACTGACCCGGACTGCCTGTGAGTGTCCAGGAGTCTCCGGGGGAGGCGTGGTCGGCGGGGGCCTGCTGCGGGGCCGCGGGCACCGAGCGGGGCGGGGCGTGCCTGGGACCTTTTGAAGGAGGTCACCTTGTCTTCATCACCTCCACCATAGTTTGGACCCAGGTAAATAGCAGGGAAGGAACACAGCCCCACCCTTCAACAGAAAATCGGATTAAAGATCTACTGAGCATGGCTCCGCCCCTCAGAACAAGACCCAGTTTCCCCCTCAGTCAGTCTCTCCCATCAGGAAGCTTCCATCAGCCTCTTATCCTTCTCCATTAGAGGGCAGACAGAATGAAAACCACAATCACAGAAAACTAACCGATCTAATCGCATGGACCACAGCCTTGTATAATTCAGAGAAACTATGAGCCATGCCGTGTGGGGCCACCCAAGATGGACGGGTCATGGGGGAGAGTTCTGACAAAGTGTGGTCCATTAGAGAAGGGGATGGCAGACCACTTCAGTATTCTTGCCTTGAGAACCTCATGAACACCATGAAAAGGCAAAAAGATAGGACACTGAAAGAAGAACTCCCCAGGTCGTAGGTGCCCAATATGCTACTGGAGACCAGTGGAGAAATAACTCCAGAAAGAATAAAGGGATGGAGCCAAAGCAAAACAACACCCAGCTGTGGATGTGACTGGTGATGGAAGCAAGGTCTGATGCTGTAAAGAGCAATATTGCATACGAGCCTGCAATGTTAGGGCCACGCATCAAGGCAAACTGGAAGTGGTCAAACAGGAGATGGCAAGGGTGAACGTCGACATTCTAGGAATCAGTGAACTAAAATGGACTGGAATGGGTGAATTTAATTCAGATGACCATTATATCTACTACTGTGGGCAGGAATCCCTTAGAAGAAATGGAGTAGCCCTCATGGCCAACAAAAGAGTCCGAAATGCAGTACTTGGATGCAGTCTCAAAGACGACAGAATGATCTCTGCTCGTTTCCAAAACAAAGCATTCAATATCACGATAATCCAAGTCTATGCCCCAACCAGTAATGCTGAAGAAGCTGA